AACCCTGAAACCTTAAATCCTAAACCATAAGATTGGCCCACGGGATGAAAGGCCAATCTTCGGCTCCAAGCATTTAGGGTTTAGGGGTTTGGGGGTTTAGGGTCTAGGGGTTTAGGGGTTTAGGATTTAGTGGTTCAGGGGTTTAGGGGTTTAGGGTTTAGTGGTTTAGGGGTTTAGGGGTTTAGGGCTTTAGGGGTTTAGGGTTTAGCGTTTAGGGCTTTAGAGCTTCAGGCTTTAGGGCCAGGGTTTAGGGTTTAGGGCCCCCCCACAATCCCAATCACCACAAAACCCTCGAAGAGCTGGTGTCGAACCTTTACTTGCGGGTAGTTTTGAAGTATTTTCGCAAGCTTATGGCCACTTATATCCCAAAGCCACAGCCAAAACTACAACTTTGCAAGGGTGCCAAAGTTCAGCGCAGTAAAGTCTATAGAAAACCGAATCCCTCACCCTAAACCCTCAACCCTAAACCCTAAACCTCTCAATCCCTAAACCCTAGAACCTACTATACCCCTAAACCCTAAACCCCTAAACCACTAAGCCCCTAAACCCTTACCCCTAAACCCCTAAACCCCTAAACCCTAAACCCTACTATACCCTAAACCCAAACCCCTCAACCCCTACTATACCCCTAAACCCTCAACCCTAAACCCTAAACCCTACTGTACCCCTCAACCCTCCATCCTCAACTCTACGAATCCTCGCTTGTCCCGGGGGGTCTTCTCAGATGTCGGAGCACGCGAAAATGCAGAGGGAGACTTCGAGTCCGTCGGTGAAGGACGGCGTAGAGTTCATGCTTTAGGGTTTAGGGTTTAGGGGTTTAGGGTTTAGGGTTGAGGGCTTAGGGTTTATGGTTCAGGGTTTAGGGTTGATTGAGGGTGTAGGGTTGATGCTTTAGGGTTTAAAGTTTAGAGTTCATTTAGGGTTGAGGGTGGGGTGTAGGGTTGATGCTTTAGGGTGTAGGGTTGAGGGTTTACGGTTGAGGGTCGAGGGGTTGAGGGTGTAGGGTGGATATAGGATTTAGGGTTTAGGGCTTTCGGGTTGTGTGTTGAGGGTTCAAGGGTTGATTAGGGTTTAGGGTTTAGGGGTTTAGGGTTTCGGGTTGATTTAGGGTGTAGGGGTTGAGGGTGTAGGGTTGATGCTTTAGGGTTTAGGGGTTTAGGGTTTAGGGATGTATCTTATTGTTGTTTGTTCTTTTGCTTCAAGGGAGTTTACCAACGGGCTGTTTCAGGACTTGATAGGGTTAGATTTGTTTAGGAGTTTTCTGTGGATGTTACCGAGCTAATTCTCAAAGGTTGTCAAATCATTGAAGACATGCCTTGCTCATGGACGCCATAGCCTACTGGGCGCTTTTCCTGGAACAGTGTTTTGTTTGGGAGGACTTCGAATATGGTACTTGCTATCCACGACAATTTGGCTGGGACGTTGCATCACGACGCCTGTGTCGGGTGCTTCGTTGCAAGACGATTTGCATTCTCTGCTGTGGATCTCCTGCCACCCACAAAGCCGTGCTGCGGAGCAGAACTTGTTGAGATGCCTGGTCGACATGACCCTGCCGGGAGTCATTGCTAGAGCAGCTGGGGGCACGGACACTGGCCAACAAAGAGCCGCAAGTGCTTCCATCCGTAAGAACCAAAGCTGGCTTTGCGCGGAGGCAGGCCGATCCGTGAATACGATGATCTTCTTGTACCAATTGACGCGAGGAGTGGCCAACAATGCTTCGAACACCCACTTGCTCCGATATGGGTAGTTCTCCAATTTTTCTTTTGAGGTGCATCAATATAGTAGAGAACTACCGAAATGAGGCCTACCTAGAGTGTATGCTGCGCCATCAAGCCTTGGCAGCCACCTTCGGAAAGGAACGGCCAATTGCCGTTGCTTGGGACCCGTCGTCGTATGATTTTAGGGTTCCTTACGATGGTTTCACTCTAAACGTCCTTCACAATACAGGCTATTTCATGGTCTAAGCCCTAAACCCTAAACAGGTTCTTTGGGGTTGAGGATGGGATTGATGGGTTCTTGACGGCCTGCGTCCTGTGCAAAAGATTTTGAGGTAGATTATTTCGAGGACGACGACGACTACTGCTACTACCAATAGCACCACCGCTACTAGTACTACGACGACGACTACTGCTACCACCCTAAACCCTTAACCCAAAACCCAAAACCCTAAACCTAAACACAAAACCCTAAACCCTAAACCCAAAACCCTAAGCCCAAAACTCTTAACCCTAATCCCTAAACCCAAAACCCTAAACCCTAAACTCTAAACCCTAAACCCAAATCCCTAAGCATAAATCCTTAACCTTAATCCCTCAACCCGAAACCCTAAACCCTAAACCCCACTGTAAACTCTAAACCGTTAACCCAAAACCCTAAATACCCTTAATTAACCCTAATTCTTTACCGCCTCAACCGACAGCCTGACACGAGAGGGTCTCTCAAGAGCGGAGCTTCGGAAAGCCAGGGAAGCCCTAAAAATTTGGGAGTTTCCGAAGAGGCGTACCTTATTTGGGGTGGTTTAGGGTTTAGGGTTTAGGGTTTAGGGTTTAGCCATAAAGTTTGTGAGTTTCCGAAAGTCTAAGGTTAGAAGTATGGGCCCCTAATGCTTTAGGGTTTAGGGTTTAGAGTTTAGAGTTTAGGGTGTAGAGTTTAGGGTTTAGGAGTTTAGGGTTTAGGGTTTCCAAGGTTAGAAGTATGGGCCCTAATATGGAATGGACCCTTAGGCCTTTCTAGGGACCCTTAGGTACCTTTAGGGTATATAGTAGGTGTATAAGGATCCTAGGGTTAAGGGCCCATACTAGGGGCCCCTGGTTTCAATCTTGGAGAAAAGGGGTACCTTATTTGGGGTCCTTATAATAAGGATCCTACTATTCAATTCAGGGTGCTATATCAGCGTCCCCTATTTTCGGAAACCATTTGCTCGACCGTTTGAAGTAGGCCGTGCAAAGTGTTATAACCTCAAAAGCCCAAAAGAGTTGCAACATCCTACAAGATCCGATAGCACCCTAGATAACCTCAGAACACCCCTATTCAACAACAACCCACAAAACGCACTCTGAAGACCTGTATAAGAGTGGGCTCAGAAAAACCTAGACACTAAACTCTACCACCGTAAACCCTAAACCCTAAACCCTAAACCCTAAACCCTAAACCCTAAACCCTAAACCCTAAACTCTACCACCCAAAAACCTCCAATCCGAATGCCCAGACCCTCACACTCAACCCTAA